TCAAATGTTGCCCCATGGATTAATTCTTCCACTGCCCCACCTCTGAAATCTTAAATTTCAACACTCTTCTTTTCACCCTAAGTTCATATTTTCCCAGTGTTTACTCCCTTACTCTTACGATATTTGCAAAACTTCCACTCCCTTCTTCTCTTCATCTCAATTTGCTAGTCCTCTCTTGATGCCACTGCTTTTTCTAGAGAAGCTAGACTCAGCACTCCATTACTTCACAGCCAACAACCTTAAACAGCTTTCCTAAGTGCTCCGAACCCTGTTTGCCTATCTGCCATCTTTTCCCGCCTATCTTTAAACTATTGGCAGCAGCTAAAGAAAATTGCACAGTACCACACAGATTAATGTCACAGATGGGGATCTTAGCTGAACTGTACACAATGCACAGAAATCCCGTAATTAGGTTCTTCTCACATGGCACCTGAAGGAAATCTTACCATTTTTGTTTACATGTTAAAGAACATGGCAGGAAAAGTATGGTCATACAGATCACATTTGAAATCTAATTCTCTGCTTCCCATTTGGTCTTATCTTGCTTCTTTGGGTCTTTTCCCCCAATCTGTAAAATGGAGCTTATATAAACTTTTCTGGACAGACTATTTTGAAGATCATATAAAGTAGTTCTGTTGAGATGTCTCAAGTCAATGAAAGCACATGAAGATTCTTTTTTCTTCAATAACTGCTATAAACTGTACTTGACAGATAACTTCATTTTCTACTTAGAACATTTTTATCTAATTCTATAACATTTTGAATTGTTAAACAATTCTCTTGTGCCCTAGTGCAGGTCAGTTCAGAGGTGTGTGTGTGTGTGTGTGTGTGTGTGTGTGTGTGTGTGTATAGACATGATCTCTTGTCTTAACTCTATACCTTTATCCATTCTGTCTATCCTCCAGTACCTGGAAAGGAAGGCAGGAAAGGAAAGATTGTCTCCTTATGCATGGTCAAGGTTGCTATCTTCTTTCACTGTAAGTGATCTTGCAGCTTTTCATAAGCTCAATAACATGAGTTGGTGACTACAAGTTCCTATGACAAAGGTGTCAGGACAAACAGTTCCAGTAAACACTGATGGTTGTCTGGAAGAATATCTGTTGGCCGAATCCTGTTTTCTTATCTAACTCAATATTCCAAGGACTGTTTCAGTTCTATAGCTTTACCCTCTTTCTCAGTGGACATCTCAATCCAACTTTAAGCCAAAAATAAAAGTAGAATTTATTTTCCATACCTCCCAGGAGTTAGAAACTTGAAATGAAGACTTCCTATTCTCTTGGCTGGGCTATACTAGCCACCACTTCAACCTTATTTTCCTTCTATTTTGGTAGCATTAGCACTGGCAGGAATGTAAACCCACTAGCTAAGCAGACATTCACCTGGAGAATTCAGGGAATCATGGTTTAGATGAAAGCTATTATTAACTTGGCCCTCACTAGAGAATCTGGTATTTCTCAATTCTTCACTATAAATCCTGGGCTAATAAGTAACCCGAAGTAGTTAGAAGATAGCAAATAGTACTCTACTCCATTTGGACACATGTGTAAAACAGGATCCACAATTGACCTGGCCTGTGACAATTAATGTTATTTTTTTCTTGGTGATATATAACCGAATTTCATACCTATATTGTATTTTTATACTACCAAATATGGTGCACATATGGAGTATTCAAAATGTTAACTAATTTAATCCCTACAACAAACTTGTGAGGTAGTTACTGTTGTAATCCCAAATTACAGATAATGGAATTGAGTCACAGGCCCCTTAAGTAACTCATTTGTCTTCTAGTCATGATTGGATAGATGAACTCCTTGTGCTAGGAATCCCATTAATATTTTCAAATTCATCTTGAAAAAGTGTGCTCCTAATTTTTTTTAAAGTTGTTATGATCTCAAATGGTCATAACAGCCCATAATAAATGGGTAACATCATTTTTTTCTGATGTGGAAAAGGTTGCAAATTCTAGTCATTGATATAATATTGTACACCAGAATTATCTAGTTATTGGGATTTTTAAACTTCATCCATACATCTTTTTCTATGTATTAAGAAGCTATTTCAATTGTTACTGGTTGGCTTAATTTTTCTATATAGTTTGTCTTGTTTTGAAAGATTGAATTTTTGTAAAATATAAAATTTCTTGAAGTTCCCCATATAATATTTTCTTCTAATATTAAAATCACCTTTATCCATTGTTATAGCCCTCTGTAGTTGCTTGCTCAAATTGTTAAATTTGAACCACAAAAACTCATGTAAGAAAATTCAATTTACCTTGCCTAGGAATTCATATCAAATTTATTTTTAAATGTAGCATTTGTTTTTCACTTAAAACAATGTCTAATTCATTTAAACAAAGAGTTTAATTTTGTTTTAAATGTTTTTAGTACTCCCCACCACCCCCGTTTCTTTTCTAGATAGGGTCTGTTTATGTAGCTCAACCTGACCTCAAACTTACTATGTTGTAATACAGGTTGGCCTTGAGCTCCTGATCCTTCTGCTTCCACCTCTCAGGGCTGGGATTACAGGTATGTGCTACTAAGTCTTGCCAAGATTTAATCCTTTATGTAAAACTAAACAAGCACATCCATCTCATTAGCATGAAAATTGTTTTTATCTTTATGTTAAAATTATACGTGTATCAAATAAAATTATGATATAAACAAATTTTTGATTTGAATACATGTTTTAAAATATTTTATTTACTATTTTCATTTTATATGTATGGGTATATTGCCTACATGTGTGTAAGTGCACCCATATTTCAAAACGTCCTCGGAGGTCAGAGGACAGGGCTTGGAAACCCTGGAACTGGAGTTACAGATGATCATTAGCCACCATGTGGGTATTGGGAATTGAACCTAGGTGCTCTTCAAGAGCAGTCAGTACTCTTAACTGCTGAGCCACCTCTCCAGCCCCCTTGAATACGCTTTTTAAAAAAATTTTATTTTTATTTTATGTGTATGTGTGTATTGCCTGCATGTAGGTAAGTGCACCCATGTCGTGCAATGCCTGTGGAAATCAGAAGAAGCTGTTGGATCCCCTGGGACTGGAGTTACAGACAGTTGTTAGCTGCCATGTGGGTGCTGGGATTTGAACCTGGGCCTTCTGCAAGAACAGCCAGTGTTCTTAACTGCTGAGCCATCTCTCCAGCCCCCACTTTTTAAAAAAAGTTTTAATTATTTTTAATTTCTTCAGCAAAAAGGGATTGTTTATTTAACCAATTTAAATATCTCTGAACTAGATTTTAAGAATAGTGCAAGGAAGGATGAAGCAGAAGGATCATGAGTTTGAGGCCTGCCTGGGCTACACAGTGTGTTCAAACCCAGCTTGGGTTTCTTGTTTAGAGTGCTATATGTAATATGAAACTCTGGTAACTACAAATCAAGAAAAGATGTATACTTACAGTGTTTTTGCTTCTGATGGTTTTCTTTGTAGAACTTTTAGGAGTTTCTAAAAAACCTATTCTTTTCAAGTGTCATAATAAGTGAGCTAGATATTTAAATCAGTAAAAAGAATTATTTCACTCTTTTTTTTTAATATTTCTACCATCTTCTAGCATCAGAAACAGCTGACCTTGACCATCATCTCATGATTTGGAGGAGAGCTAACTGGAAGTCTACTGGAAGGGGCCTAAATGTACCACCAGTCTGCTAAATTGCAATAGAGATGTGGTTAAGAGACAGAATATACCCCTCCATGTAATTTAATCTCTGAACATTTTTTTTTCATTATAGCTTTAACACATTCAGGAACACATTCCAGAGCAAGGATACATCTCTTTCAAAGATGGCTGTAAAATTTTAGGTTCACAGTTGAATTAATACAGTCATACAATATTGAACTCAGTATAAACCCTGTAAGACATAAAATTGAATGAGTTTTTACCTTTTAAAGAAGATCTCCATTTCATTTAAGATATGCTTTTTCCTAAATTTTTAATGCTACTAACACTTACATGTTTGCACATGTGTCTGAACATTTTAAGCAGTATTTACCTGAAGAAACAAAACAAACATGAGGCCCTTGTTAGCAAACGTCTAGAGCAGGAAGTAACATCATTGAAATCAAAGTCTCAGGGACTTAAGCTCTTATTTACTTCTGATTGATATGTCTAGCACAGAGTACCTTCTAAGAATTACAGTGCTTGGCCAGTATTTATCAAATCAATTGCTTTGTATCTAGATATTGGAAAGATCATCAAATTGAGGATAAGACATAAGACGATGCTGCGTCCTTTTGTATTTTCTCAGAATGTCTGCTCCAGCACTCCGGGGTTCAGGAGGATGGGAACTGAAGCCCAGCAGGACTACCTAAGGTGTGTGAGAGGCTGGGATGTTTTCCCATTATACAGTTTCGTACTGTATTCCTACTGGTTGCTTATCTGAAACACTGGGTGACTAGATTACAATCTGGCCCCACTCTCAATGCTGTGGTCCTAATAAACCTCCTGCCCTTTTCGTTTTGTCTACCTTTCCGCTAGATCAGTGTTGTGGAAATTTTGAAACCCATCCTACACCTTCCTCCCCCATTAGTTAAGGAAAACGACTTCTTTTTAATTTCCATAATGATCCACGAACGGTGTTTCTGGAATGCGTGACGTCGATTTTCATTGCGATCTCCATTCTGAGTCAGACAGGGAGTCCCCTCAGCCCTATCAGATTTGGTCTCTCAATTTCAACTAGTGGTGATGCGGTCGCAGGTATTATATGCACCTTTCATAACGGAGCCACAGAAGGCGTGAGAAATTACCAAAGGCGGGGACGAATATAGCAAGACAAGGCCCAGGGTCAAATCATGGCCCTCCTCTCAGCTTGCAGGGTGGATGGAGAAGTAGAGGAGTACTTGAGTGGCCTCACAGAAAGCAGAACGCAAGAAGGGTGCAGGTCCTTAGCCCCCCCCCCCCGCTCCCGCGAGTCTTAAGGGAGTGCCTCAGGCCCCGCCTCCTCGGAGCCCTAGGCCCCGCCCCTTCCAGCTAGGCCAGCCGGCTTGGGCTCCGCGGGACGCAGGGGGCGGAGAGAATCCGCAGTTGCAAAAAACGCTGGAAGCGTCGGAGTCCGTGCCTGGGATCGCGCTGCCGTCACCGCCGAGCCGCTCGCTTTCCCGGCCCGGGCCTCAGCGTAGCCGGCTGGGCCATGGCAGCCGCCGCCTGTTCGGGGCAGGCGGCCGACGCGCTCCCGGGCTGTAGCTGAGCTGCAGTTAACCCGCCAGCCCTGCGTCCGGCCCACGCGGCCGCGGCTCAGCCTCCTCTCCAGCTTCCGCTGCTGAAGAGGCCGAGGCGACCGCTGGCCAGGGCAACCCGGGCCCGCCCGCCCGTCCGCCCGTCCGCTCGTCCGCTAGTCCGCTCGCCGAGATGTGGGCCCGTTTCCTGGGCCCGGAGGCCAGCGGCCGGGACAGCCCGGGCGGAGCCCGCAGCTTCCCTGCAGGTAAGGGAGAGACAGTCCGGGCCGGTCGGAGTCAGCGCGCCCCTCAGGCCTGCGCCCGAGCCGGCGCCGCGGTGACATCTGGCGGGCCGCGGCCGGCCTCCCGCAACTTCAGTCCCCCGGGGCGGCTCGGCCCGGCCTTTGTTGTCCCTTTCCCTCGTGTGGTGCGGGACCGCCGCACGCGGGACCAGGGCAGAAGGTCGCTGCGACCGCGCTGCCGTCCGGGGCCCCGCTGCGGTGTCACCCGCAGCCTTGGCTCCTGGGACGCTGCTGGGGATGCGGTCACGTCACGGCTCCCGAGGGCGCCCCAGCCACTCCTAGGAACCCGGTGGCCCGCTGCCCTGCAGCCGCGGTTGTGTCCCAGGGGGCAGTGCCATCGGAACTGAGCCAAGCTGCGGGGCTGGGAATCCGTTTGCTTCGGAATCCTGGTCCCTTCAAGGAAACTAGGGGGTGGCCGCTTTGTGTGTCGGAGGGGGCTGCTTGGTCGGACAGCCATTTAATGCCTGCACCACCCAGAAGTTGTATAGGAGCCCCCAAATTAGAATAAATCCTCCCCTACCATAGAATAGAAAAAGAAGGCTTGGTCTGACTATGACTCGTTATCTAAGGATGACAGTCTTTAAGGGCACTTTAATCTTTACTGAGTTATGAACCCAGTTGAAAAGCTGAAAGATATATAGACTTTTTTCTGTTTTGGCCTGTAGCAAAAGTCACATGTCTACACACGTTTCTCCTACAAATTTAGGTGGTTCTGGGGACCTTGTCAAGTAACCCTGCACTACAAAGTATTTGAACTTGACCTTTATAACTTACGAGACATTTGTGTACATTTTCAAAGCCTTTCAGAAAGCAAAAAAAAAAAAGCAAAGCACATTTGGAAGGAGTCCTTTTGTTACATTTTCTGTCTTTAAAAAGATACCAGACACATTGGTATTGAAATTTCAAGCAATGCAATTCTGTGATAGTTTATGTATTTGTGATGTCTTAACTATATCAGACACGGAATTGTTCTCTTAGACCTGTAGTACTTTTAGAGATTATAGAGCTGAGTATAGCTGTGAGTTTAGTAAAAATACATTCAGGGAATTGCTTTTGAAATGTTTACTGTTTGTCTTAAGGAGGAGGCAGCAGTTTAGAGGTTTTGTGATGGTACCCAGTAGTCACAAATTCTGGCTTTTAAGTGGCTTCAGTGATGGAGAAGATACTCTGTTACCCCTAGGGGCCAGCAAGAACAGTTCCATTTATTCATGTGTCAAAAGCCATCTGTGATGTCTTTGTAACCTAACCCCTTAAAATTTATGATAATAGCATGTTTGGATCTACTTTTCCATTGTTTTCTACTAATAAAACATCTTAGTGTTTAGAAGTTAAATGATTGAAAGACTCTGATGTTTCATTGCAGTTTCTAGACATTTGCTATTTGTAGAATACAGTGGAAGAAAATACTTTAAAATATCACTCAGATTTAAGGAATTCAGGAAATATAGCTTTATAAAAGTATATGTTCTATTTCAGCTTTGAAAGTGATAGAACATTGGTAAATCATGACGTCTTCCTTTTCTTAAAAAAATTCTATTTTTATTTTGTGTGTATGAGTATGTTAGTTGCATGTATGTAAGTGTACCCGTGTCATGCAGTATCCGTGGAGATCAGGAGAGAGCGTTGGATTCTTCTGGAACTGGAGTTTCAAATTGCTTGCTGCCACATGGGTGCTGGGACTCAAACCCAGGTCATCTGAAAGAGCAGCCAGTGCTCTTAACTGCTGAGCCATTTCTCCAGCCTCATGACATGTCTGTCCAATGATTTTTTTCAACTGTATGCTGAGAATGTATTATTTTTATAGTAATAATAATGTAATACTCTTCTTGAGGTAACAAATACTTGAAATAATTTAAAATTAATTTTTAAAGTTATTTTTTAGATGAGAAATTGTGAACTCTAGCAAATGATGAGCAGAGAGTGAAAGATAAGGTAACTTCTGAGCTGGTTCACATGGAGACCTCCTTTTTCCTAAGAATTTAAAGAATGTATAGATTTGAAATACTGTTGAACAAATACACATTTTAGCTAATTTGAGCAATTTTATCTCTATATGAAAACGACAAACAAAAATCAGTCTTTTTTGACAGAGGATCTCAGTAGCTCAGGCTGGCCTCTAACTCAAGCTGGTCTTGATCTACTGATTCTCCTGCCACCCACTTCCAAAGTGCTGGGATTACAGGCATGGGGACATCATGCCAGCCCAACCCAGTCTTCTGATTGAATTTATTAGCAGTCTCTTTGGTTCTGAGGACCAGTATGAAGATAATAATTTCTTTCATTAAAAGAAGTTATCTTCTTATGTGTGAAGTCTGGGTGTTCTGAAACTGGTTTGTTGATGCAAATAGATAATTAGACTGGAGGTCTAAAGTCAATATAGAATCAGCTTTCTAAAAAGAGGAAGCTTTCTTAAGGAATTGGCAATAAGAAACAAATAGGACTCATACGTGTGCTTTTGAAAATGCTAAGCTTTTGAAAGGTCTTTTCCTGGGGATTTAACTATGTTTTGTCTTTATACAGCTTTCCAAGTTTATGGGCAACCATTATAAAACAAAATGAGCATTTTCTTACATTTCCATGAATGATCATATGAAGTCCCCCCTTTCTGTTGGTAAATATGAGTAGAAAGCTACTTAAAATAGGACAAGTTGTTTGTCTTTTGTGCACTTGAGTGTATTTGAGATCACTCTACTGTTCAAAATGTATAATAATATCAAAGCTGATTGAAGGATAAATTTACATCCCTTAGGGTTTTGAAATCTAGAATTATACAATGATATTTTGAGTACTTCCAGTTACACCGAGTATGTTCCTTAGTGTAACATATACATGCATATTTTGTTCTTTTTAAAAAAATTTTTTTTGTTCTGTTGTTTTGAGACAGGGTCTTACTGTGTATGTAGCCCAAGTTGGTCTCAAACTTGTAGTAATCCTCCTGTTTCAGTCATCCAAGTGCTTGGATTATTGGTATGAGTCACCAGTCCTCATTTTTTAAGTCATATTTTAAAACTTAATATATCCAGTCCTTAAAATATTTTGGGGTAGAATATTATACTTTTTAAATGTGCTAAAAATGTTATAGGAAACACTCATGCTTAAGAAATTTCATTTGTTCATGCCTTGAGCTTTAAATTTGTGTCCTTATAGTTGGTACATGCATTACTCATAAGATGCTTAGTGATGTCATAATGATAGTGATAATAACTAGTAAGACTACAACAAATAATGTTTTCTGCTATGGTTCTGGGTTAGATGGACCTAAGAGCATTCTAGTAACAATGAAATACAATTCTGTAGCCTAAACTCAACTAAACATGCTCTTTCATAATAGTAATTGGGGTTTGAGGTGTGAATCTCAATATTAGTGATGACTCTTGTGAAATGAACTTGATTAGTCATTGGAATTTGATCACGTCTTAGCTTGAATGAAACATATATTAATCTGAGCAATAATGGTGCATTTGAGTTGATAACTCCTATTGCCACGTTGTAAATATTTATGTATATTCTGGACAGACAGGTTTTAGATAGTTATGCTTTTTCTGTGTGGAAGAAATATGTGTTCTGCAAAAATAATGAAGACTTTATACCATTTTAATGAATTAAAGCTTAATTAGTTCCCACAAATTGTGTATTAAATAAAAAGAATGTGATCACCTAGGTAACATTGATGCCTCAACATATTATTATTACTGCTTAAAGGAGTTTCATATTTTATACTTTAATCCATAAAAATATTCTAATATTTTTGTGGAAACTCACTTATTAAGAATAGAAAAGGGGCTGGAGAGAAGACTCAGCAATTAAGAGCACTGGTTTGTCTTGCAGAGGAGCTGGGTTTGGTTCCCAGCACCCACACAGCAGCTAACAACTGTCTGTAACTCCAGTTTTGGGGGATCTGACGTCCTCTTCTGGTCTCCATGGGCAAAAACCACATAATGCATAAATTAAAAATAAATAAATAAAAACATCTTTAAGAAAAGGATAGAAAAGCTGGGCATGCAGGCCGGGCATGGTGGCACACACCTTTAGTCCCAGTGCTTTGGAGGCAGAAGCAGGCGGATCTCTGTGAGGTCAAGGCTAGCCTGGTCTACATAGCAAGTTCCCATGCCTGTATGCTCAGCTCAGAGAGGTAGAGGAGTATAATTGCAGCCAGTTTGAGGCCAGTCTGCCTTATACAGTGAGGTCTAGCAGCCAGGACTACACAGTAAGACCTTGTCTCAACAAAACACCAAATGAAACCAAAACAAAAAACCCAAACTCCCCCTGCCCCCCAAACCAAACAAAGAATAGGAATGTTTAGTAGAAATGGAACACCAGATTGCTTTTCATACCTATATTTTACTTTGACTTTCTAGTTTTCGTCAATTGAAAATATTCCATTGTTATTTAATAGAGTGCTTATGACCTAGGTAAATGTTTGTGATATAGTCTGTTAGTAAATATTATTTGTATGCCAATCATTGTACTAGACTCTGGTGCTGTATCATTGAACCAGAAAATGAAGAGCTCTGCTATAAGAAACTTTGTATTGTAGTGAGAGGAGACAGGCAGCAAATAAACAGATAAGAGGCTAGTTTAGCTAGTGTTACTAGGAAAAAGAGGAAACTGTTGGAAAACTGGCAGAAGTATGAGTAGAGTAACTTTGGGCAATCTGGTCAGGAAAAACCTCTGAGGAGGCTGTTCTAAGACATGAATGATGAGAAGGTGCCTCACATGAAGAGAGGCTTGTGCGTTCCATGTTGAACTTGGAGAGGTTCAGGAATATCAAAACCCATCCTGAGTTTAGTTAGCAGGAATATGAGGTGGGGAAAGTCTGGTAGTAATGTAAGGTATTATAAAGGAGTGGATTTTATTATAAAGGAGTGTGGGAGAGGAGCCTACCTATGAAAGGGCAGGGGAGAGGACTGTGCACCCTTTCACTCAGTACTTACAGTGCCTACCATGAAGCAGACATCATTCTG